GGGCCTCATTTATATGTTTTGTATGACCTCCTGAACACGATGGAAAATGGAACCAAAGGTCAGTGTTAAGTCTCCCCTGGCTTTTGTTCTTTAAAACAACAATATTGTATTGATCTGTCCTGAATGATAAACACAAATGTCTTGGTAAAACACAGCCTCTTTTGACCTTTAGCAATTACTTCTACATGGCTTTAGTGGTACTGTAGATGAAAAAAATAACAATGTCCAACTCATTTTCTTTTGTTTTTGTGTGCAACTACACCTACACCTTACCAGAGTGGTAAATTTCACAGAAGCTGCTACTTCCATTATACATGAGAAATGATTGAGATGTTGCAGGATATTTACATTTAAGTCGATTAAATATTAGAGCTCTACTTACTGCTCACCACAACATTGTCACAGCAACAGGATTCCTGGTTCTCAGCTGGGGGAGCGATGTGTGAAGTTTGTATGTTCTCTATGCACTTCAGCTTCCTCCCACAGTTTCGAGACATGCATGTCGGGTTATTAGTGATATCAAAGTGGTTGTGAATATGAAGCACAGAAAATGCTTGAAGTTTAGAGAATACAGTGCTGCATGAACATTTTGTAAAAATGTAACTTCTATTCTTGGGGGCTTTGAGCAAGACTTATTTCAATGCAGTGACACAAAAAACCAACCTATGTGTATATAAGTTTGATTACTTTTTAACTTGTGCTTAGTAAAAATATAAAATATACATGCATGTTCATGGTGACTGGTGACTCTTTCTCGATTAAACTAAGAAAGCTGCCTTAGTAGCTTGACTTTTATGAACAAGATTTCCACTATAGAGATATTGGACATCTCATGAAACTGAGATCTGTTAGGCTTATGCCGGGTTATAAATAAAAATTGTGATTCATCCTCAAGAACTCAGGTGCTTGCATGTAAAATATCTGTTATCTAGTGGTGAGCCTAACTGAGTCTCACTTGTCTGACAGAGTCAAAGTGTGTTGCAGTGACCCACGATTAGATCCTCTTAACCTTTCCTCTGACCTTAACGAGTGTGAGATTACACCCCTGGACTTTTCTGTGGGCGGCTGCAACCATTGCTAAGAATGGTAATGCAACCAGGTAAACCTCCAAATCAGCTCTGTACAATTTATATACTTATAAATAAATATATATCTCTATATGTAGATATACTGTATAGTGATTCTAAAATACATTGAAAAGTAGAGAGTATTATATACCATGATTAGTATTTTTTCATTCATAAAAGTAGTGAATATGAATTTGGGAAAGACAGTTCACCCGTGTCGTCACAGACAGACAGCAGAGATGATGATGAAAAGCAATGCACCTCAGGCTGGAACCTCTTGACCTGTGGAAAGACTGCAGGGAGGTGGTGGCAGCAAGGGGCTGATAAAGGGCAGTCACTGGGGCCTAAAGGCACATCCTGGACATGTCGTTTTGGCAGTAGGGGTCTTGCCACAAATACACAAACAATCACACACAGACCATATCTCCAAGCAGTGAAGAAAGAAGAGTAGGTGGCACTTCAGCTCCTAAAACAGTGGAGCGTGTGTGTGTTGGGGGGTGGGGGGGGGGGGGGGGTATTCTGCACCTCACCCTTGTGGCAAGTGAGAGATGACAAGACAAACAACTCTTGGATTTAGTCCTGTCATTCACCACCAAACATGGAGCTTCTGGATCCAAACTAATTTCTGCACTACTCTGACTCAACAAACTTCTTCAGTGCATAGCTCTGTTCTCTATCAATATATTAATTTGCTAAGATCAACCATGCCAAGCGTTCACACCAACTGACATTTAGATGTAATTTAATCCTAATAAAAAATGTGTTTTTTGGAATCATATGATTACACACCGACAGGCTGTTTTGTTTATCGTGGCTTTGAGAGTACCGCTTTAATATTCTTCATTATAATTGGAATTAAAGGCCATTGCATTGATTCTTAAAAGGGCTGCTAAGGCAAAGTCCCATACTGCTCATATTTGTATGTGTGTGTGTATGTGTGTGTGTGTGTGTGTGTGTGTGTGTGTGTGTGTGTGTGTGTGTGCACGTGTGCCATTTCTCCACGCTACCCTTTGTGTGTGGTCATGCTTCACATTTTCATTTAAGCTTTGATCACATTAAAGCTATTCTCACCATATTAATGTTAGTCAATGAATAGATTAAATATTCAATTAAGCCTGATGCAGGCATGTGTGGCAGAGGTTTTGAGACTGACTGTGTGTGTATATGTGCGTGTGTGTGCTTGTGTGTATGAGATACAGAGAGAGAAAGAGCGACAGTGAAAGAGAGAGAGTGTGTTTAAATGTGTATGTTGATGTGTAATGATGTGTAAATATATTTATGGCTCAGGGTCACAGTGGTATTAACCTGACCCAGGCTGGTTTTCTCTCTGGGGAAACTCCACAACTGCTGATTGTTCCGAGTTTCTGTTAGCTTTTGTGGGCCTTCTAGCACTGTGGACAGAGCAAGAAGCCCCTTTCAGCTATGCAGGAAGGAAGATCATACAAAGATGAGTAAAAAATGAAAATAAAATAAACAACAGATGCTTCCACAACTTTTATTTTGTTCTGTTTTTCATTCGTAGCTTTGGGGAGGGGGGGCAATATCTTACAACTATCCAGTTGTTTAAGACTCGTGGGCATTTTTTTTCTCATAAAGTGAGATAAAGCTTATCCCTTGACTCGCCCGCCTCACAGGACGACTACATACTGTGCCCAGTTAAGTGCTGCTTTTACCAAGTGGAGAAGGCATTCAGTAAAATGTCCCATCAGCCAGGCATATGCCAAAGGCCTACATCTTATTCAAGTTTTAAACCTCTAATTGGAAACGTTTAAAAGGCGTTTAAGAGTGCCCTTTCTTCTCCCTTTTCTCATTTCCCATTTAATGTGTTGTGTCAAAGTCTATTACCTCAGTTGGACGTTTCTGTCCCTTAAGTTGAAAAAAAGGGAAAGGAGAGAGGGGGAGGGGGGAGTTGGGGAAAAAAAAGAGAAGCCATCAGCTGAGGTTTGCCAGGTCGATAAAGCTTTTTAGATTTGGAGATGTTTTCAGGGGGAGCCCATTTCCTGCGGCTAAGAGTTGTTAATGGAGCTTAAGGAATTATCTTATGACTCTCGGGTTGAGAGCAGTTTATTTCAGCCCGGGCCCTGCTCCTGTGTCGGAGTGGCTGAATATGCTGCTGTCAGAGCCGCTTAATGAAAAGTAACGCGTCGCTGATTACAGTTTTATTTGGTCTCTATGTAAAAAGCTCCTGTTAATTTACCATCCCGCTCCCTCTGTGCGTTCGTATTTGCCATGGCTGAATGATTTAGTTATAGGTGGCCCCTCTCTCTCACTCTCTTTTTCTCTGTCTCTCTCTCTTTGAGTGCACTGTGCGCACTGGTCTCTCTCCCAGGACACCCCCCCTCCCCCCCACTCCCTTCTCTCTCTCTCCCTCTCTTCTGTCTTACTTCATGTCTCTTTCTGTCAAATAAAAAGCCAGTTGGTTCAGAGGTCTAATAAAATCTGTCTTCATGGTAAATTAATTAAATGTCGGGGCTATCTGATCTTCGGGGATTTTAACTATGCGCTAATTTTCTATCAGAGGCCATGAAAATTTAAATGCACCATTTTGTATGTAGGTTAAACAGGTGTACGTCAAGTCAAATAGAAAGCATTTGTTTCTCCCCTCCCTCCCAAGTAAAAAATAAGCACCCTCACAACATGTATGCCTTTCCTTGATTTTTATTCTGAGGTTATGTCAACGTTGCTACTCGAAATGCTGCAGGCAAGGTTTTTTTTCTTCGGCCCAAGAAAGAAAATAAATAAATAAAAAATACAAGCGGTATATAGAAAATTTCTTTTGTCCGCCGTTGCACTTTCTTTTAAAGGGGCGCGTGGAGGGCGGGGTGATCTCGATCGTTGGTGCTTTTCCCATTAAAATTCATCACCGAAGCCCCTCCACACCACCACCACACCCCACTCCCTCCTCACAGGACAGAGTCCCCGGAGAGCTCCTCTTTCGCCATTACTGTCAAGTACCCTTGACTCCTTTCTTTTTGCCCTTTTATCTACAACAACTAATTCGAGTTCCTTTGCCCTTTTCACTTCCAGACGACGTGAGTGCCTCTTTCGTAAAAGCCCTTTCACTTTTCAGCGGAGGAATCAGCATCCGCGCTGTTTTTCTGCCGGATCCCCCACTCCCGTCTCCAGGAAAATCGAGGGGTTAGTGTCAAAGCGAAAACTCCTCACTTCAAAATTATTTTACGGGCCTCCGTTTTGAACCCATTAAAGGACGTATGGCGAATAACTTACCCTTCTGACAGCCGCATCATGGAAGATGTTGAAATATTTCGATAATATTATCAGAGAGCAGAGAGGGGAAATCAATAGCCCGACATGAGATATGACTGTGAACATCCCAATTACAGCCTGTTTAGAGGGAATTAATGAGGCAGATCTTAGATACTGATATTGTTCTGTCTTGTGGGGATGAGCTGCCTCATTTTCTTCCCGTCATTGCACAAGAGTGAGTGTTTTCTGGGGAAAAAAAAAGAGGGTGTGAGATGTTAGATCGTGAGAGTATTTTATGGTTTAGGAGTGATGGGAGTGCTGTTTTAAACTGCAGGATGCTTTTTAAAATGTTTTCTCCCCTCAGCCTTGCAGCAGGCCCCATATTGCGGGGGAAGGGTTAAGTCATTGTTTTAGATAAAAGCAAACGCAAAAGTAGAGCAGAAGGGGGAACGGCCTGGTTCAGCACCATAGACAGCAACTCTCACCATTAACCCGACATCACAAGCGCTCTTCAGAAACCGACTGTTTTTATTTTTCAGTGAACAAAGTTGAAACGCTCTCATCCACTCCCAAGGAGAGCAGTGCATTAGTGAGACTTATTTTTCTTTTATTGGTGATACTCAGCTGCTGAGACCTAAATAATATTCAATTACATTAGCATGCGCATATATTAAAGAAAAAAAATTTAAAGGAAAAGGCTTAGGCCTACATTTTTTTGTTGTTGTTTTTTTCCCAAGATGTAAACTTTGTTATACATTTTTGTGCGTGCGTTGAATCGAAATGTTTCCCTTCTGTAACTCGAGTGTAACAGTTTATGGCTACAACTGTTTTAATAAAGAATAAAACATAACAAGGGAATCATAGACACGCAATAGTTCTCTCTCTCTTTTCTTTTCTTTTTTCTTCCATCCGAGTTTTAGTCACAAAAAGTCTTCCACTCTCTTTGCAAGAAAGGATCATTTGGTTTTGTTAGGAGCAGAAAAGTTTATTGATAGTTTTTGGAAAACTCATGGCACTGTCTTTGGAGGAGTTTTGATGCTGCTGCAAGGCCGACGTGCTTCTCTCAGCCTCCAGAATTGTGCCTTTGGTGTTCGTGGTCCAAGAGACGGTGGTGTTGGTCAGGGCTTGGCTCAAAGTGCTGTGCCTGAACAAGGGGTCGTGAAAAACCCCGTCCACCCAGTTTCTCAGGGTTGTGACCGGCGAGTCCTGCCTGTCCAGGCCGGTCACGGGGGAGGTAGCGGCGGGGGACGGGGTGAGGGAGGAGGGCGGGGGCTGGCACCTCAGCATACAGGATGGGTACTCAGTTTGGTTCAGAGACGTCGCGGTCTGCGCCAAAGACCAGATCCGAGGTTTGCCGTCTAATATCTGGTGCCCTTGCTGCTGATTATAGCACGCCTTTTCCTGCTGTCTGCTGTCCGACTGGAAGCCGTCGTTATGATTCGTTTTGAGACAACTCTTGCTCAAGTCCTGCTCCTCTCCGAGAGAAACGGGGATGGAGAGTTTCAGAGACGCGTCCTTGAGGAGGTGTTCGCCTGGGCAGTCGGTTGTCGTTGTGGTCATATGTGTGTTCATGTGATATCGGTGCTTCAGCTCACACTCAGAGCTTTCAGACTCCAGCGTGTCGAAATCGTCCAGGTCGCTCAACTGGAGGTCCTTGTCGGGCCGGCTTGTGGTCTCTGGAGAACAAGAACAGAAAAGAAACGAGGGGCGTGTCAGTGTCACACAGCAGGACAGAAAATAGGCTTCCAATCAAAGGTGTAAATTAATGTTTCACACCTGCAAATTATAATGTTTGGGGAAAATAAAGGTTCCCTTAAGCTAAAAAAAAAAACCCAGAGTTTTAATTCCAATGTATTCAACTCTATCACAATTAACTGCTTAATCTGATATCAAAACTCCAGGAGTCTAAACTTATTTATATATCTGACTCTTTTTTTTAACTCTGACTGAGGCCTGTCTCATGTTCCTCCATTAGTAAGTTCTTAGTGTTGGCCCAGTCTGATGGCAGGCCTGTGCAGCATAGTTCAAAAATAATGTTGCTGCTGACAGGTTTCACGTGTCATATAGTAAACGTGATTAAGCCTATAATGTGGCACAGATCATTGGTAAACCTTTCAGTCAAACAAATTATTTATTATCAGGATGTAGTGTCTATCTATAATTACAGTATAAAACCTTCTATTAAAAATATATTTCTTTGTAAGAGATGTCAGAGTAAACTAAAATATGAGTGTGGTCAGGTTTTATAGGACTATCTGTACAGTCTGGTATGGAATTCAAAACTCTGCTGTATAGGCTACAATTTGTAATTTAAGGAAAAGTCTATTTATTAAGTGTCTGTCTATAGCTGTAAAGGAGCAAATTATTTATTTAGTCTTTATAAAAAAAAACTAAATAAAAAAAACATAAATCTCATCTTTGTTATTGTGAACTATATGAAAAGTCAAAAACTTCCCTTAGAAAGAGTTCAGCTTTGGAGTTTTACAGCTTTACTTTATCCTTGCAAAGCACTCTGACACTAACCATCGTCATTGTTCTCGCTTTTTATCTGCTCCTCTTGAGATCCATCCTCATCATCGTCATATCTTTTCTCCTCTGAGCCCTTGTTTCTCGGCGGCCATGTCATCTTGTTCTCCTTCTTGAGCCTCCTTCTAGCATTTGCGAACCAGGTGGAGACCTGCGTCAGGGTCATTTTAGTGATAATGGCCAGCATGATTTTCTCTCCTTTAGTCGGATATGGGTTCTTCCTGTGCTCCTGTAGCCAGGCCTTCAGCGTGCTGGTTGTCTCTCGTGTAGCATTCTTTCGTCTTGTTCCCCCATCCATGGAGCCATATCTGTTAATGAGAAGAAGGCAAGCAAAATACTAATGAGAGAGTAAATATAGTATGTAACGCTTGTTGCTTGACAATTTTTAAAGCACTGTCCTGGCAGTTTCTCTCCTTACAGCCATGACAGAGCCATCTGCATCTTGGAATTTTTCTGAGCTGATGCGTATCATGTTTTATAAGCCTTGGAGTCACACTCCTGCCTTCGTCAGCGGAAATAAAATTTAAAACTGAATATCAGAAGCATGTTTCACTTAAGAGATATAATTCCGAAGCTGTAGCGAAAGGCATGCAAGCAGAAGATCATTACTCTGTCAAAGGTTACATACTGTACACGCTAATATTTCTTAGAAAGCTGCGAAGTCATGTGAAGTCCACAGAAAATGCTTTATAAGACTGAAGGCATCAAAAGCAACAGAGACTCTGACAACGTCCCTAAAACCCCCTCAGATAATGCAAAGCTCTCACAAAGTTAATATGCTATTACTGTCATTTAAAAATATATAAGCTTAGTAAAGATGAAGAGTGTAAATTATGGTAAGCATTCTTTTTTTCTGGTCATTTTTGTTGTGCCACCTATTAAAACCATTCTTAGCACAGGCTACAGCTCTTTCCCTACCCTCACCTCTCCCACAAATATCAACCATAAGCCTACATTTAAAATGCATGCTGTTGATTTTCAGTCCGCAGTGAGCTGTAAAAGTCCTCTTGGGAGGCTTTTATGAGGCCTTTATTGCTCCGTATAGCTTAGAGCAGGTCATGCACTGAAAAGGGAATCAAAAGGAGACAAGTGCTGCACCTTTCCTTAGCCTGTGTTGTTCTCAGATAAAATAGACTGTAAAATTGCTTTATTGAGTGTAATGATGAGCCCTCAGGTAAAAGATGAGTGCAGACAGTATGGTGCTGCTGTTGGCCTGCTTGCTCATCTGGGTGACACAGGTTATTTAGCTTTTTGCAGTGTGTGCACTTTCGAGCATTCCTGATGACATCTTTTTCCCTTTATGCGGTATTAAAAGTGATTGGCAAAAGCACTTGTCGCTTAGGTTTTGGGCTACATGTTGAAAAGCTCGAAGTCCGCATGAGACATCGAGTACCGCCAATACAATATCGAGTGTGATCAACGAATGTGCAATAATAATAAAAGCAAGCATGTGGTATCACAATGCAGTTCTGATACCGCTGCTAGGTTCTGTTTTAAGGTAAATGCACAGTCACGTATGAATCACGTTCACACGCTACCTTTTCACCACATCACAGACTTATTGCGGATGTCAGCTGATTATTGGGAAGACCTTTCAATATGGCAGGCATGCTCTTCACAACAGTGTACAGGCCTTATGTTTTGATGAAAGGGGCATGGGTCCTCTGAGGCAATTCACCCCATCAGAAAAGAAATGTGTCATGAGATGAAGGTGATCACCCAGTGTTGCTTGACGCGATGAGAATGGCCTTGACCCCTCAGGAATGATTGATTTAATGCCAGGAAACTGACCCTAAACTACAGCTCAATATTTACCTCTCACTTTCATTTTAGTTACATCTTGTGTTTGTTGCTTAAGAAACCTGGGATAAGTTTCCACTTTTTTGGGATAGCAGACTTAAAGCGCATAGTTCAAACTCATTTCTGATGCAACTAACTTCCCTCTGTTTTTCTGCCTGTACCACATTTTACTCAAGCAGGATATTGGGTCTACCTCAAGTGGTCTGTTGTTTGAACTGATAATGAGCTTTTTTAACATGTCAAAAAAGAAAAATCAGCTGTCACAGAAACCTACCTGTCATACTGATACTGCCCCAAGGTAGGATCATAGGGGTAGTAAGCTGTGGCCTGGGTTATTCCCGCATGCGCAGAAGCTGTGGCATCTTTAGTATCAAATGTACCCTGCAATCATACAGCAAGACACGTTTTTAGAAGAGTGACACACAAAAAGGGGAAGGTATTGCAGCATTTTAAACAATCAACTTGACAAGAAGAGATGCGCATTGGTTGTACTTTTAGGTTGCCATCAACAAGGATAATGATTCCCAAAGAAATCCAAACTATCACAAAAACAAAAGCCCAATAATACAATACAACAATAATGTTCTGCTAAAAGTGAAGAAAAAATCCATCTCATATTTTGTGTACATATAAATATGATTGTATACCAACTGCAGGGACAAGACTTTTTTTAAGGACTGAAAAGTTGGAACTCTGATTATTTTTAAAAACAAATCAGACAAAATAAATAATTAGAATTCACAGTTGTAGGTAAAATAATGTCTAAGAAGATTCCAACCACCCCTTTACTGTCAACAGTGATTCCACTACATGGAATTTTATATGAAACCAAAATGAAACAAGCAATACTTTACTTTATATGAGCATGTCTTCCTTTTAGAATCACTCAATTAAAATAAAAAAAATAAATTAAATAAACTCTGAGAAGTTATTTGCACTCATGTTCTGACAATTTTATCAGGCTGAGTCTTCAAATTCACTTTTGCAGAGATGAAACAGACTGAAAACGACGGAAATCACATACGTTTAAAATTAACCTGCATCAACACAAGTGTGTTATTCTTTGGAGTGAATTTTTAATTTCCTTGAAACGGTTGTCGTGAATATAAGAATGCATCTTCTGCATTTAAAGGCTAATGTTTTGCTACGTAGAACATTAAAAATGAGAGGGAGAAGAGAGGTGTGCCTGCTTCAGCTTCTGAACCTTGCAGGTCCATAAATCAATGCCAAGAGGGATCAGATGAAGGGCTTACCAGTGAGTAGAAAGCGGATGCGTCCGTGCCATATGTAACGTAATTCCCATAGCCTTGACCACTGGTGTAAGGGCTCCCGTACACTCCCAGCGCAGCGGCTGAGCTCAGCTCGTGTCTCGCCGTGGCCAGCAGCCGGCTCTCATACACGGGACAGTAGACAGGTGTCTGTCCGGAAGCCGCTACTCCGGAATCGGCTATGGATCTGCCGGTGGACTCGCAGCAAGTGGTCAGAGAGTTAGTTGTCATCAGGAACTGGGTGGAGATCAAGAGAAAATTCATCGGCTGTTTTTTCTTTCTTTCTTTTTTTTTTTTTAAATTAGAACATAGGCTGCTTAATTTAATGTTGCACTGAAACAGAATGACAGGTGACGAAGTTAGTTTAAAACTTGTCTTAAAAATTGTCTTGATTAAAAAAAGTTCTACACGTTTCACTTTCACAGATCGCGAAATTAAACTTGGCTATAAAAAAAGTTCGTTTTTAAAATTATACAATTTACTTCTTTTGAAATGATCTACATTGTCTTCCCCTTTTTTTGTGGATTGCCCATTTAAAAATGGCAGATCTATTGGCGACTAAAATAGATCAGAGCAGACCAGATCTAAAGTCGAACGCCACAACTCTGTTCGCGTGATAATATGCGCGTAAAACTGTCCAAAATGTGCCGTCTAACAGGCTTGATTCAAAATCAAAATCCATGCCTTGCAAACAGATACATGCTTTTCCCAGAGATTGCTCGGTAATACCTAAAGTAAAGAGCCAAACGATTTTCATGGCTCACAGCCAAAATAAAACAGCTGCTGTTATAGCGCAAAACACACATGGCGTGTGCCGAACAAGTTGCCATGTGTGTTCCAAAGCAGATAAACATATGGTTAACATTACACAGCGGCTATTATCTTACAGAAATCAGTGAACAGGAGGTCGGGGGTCTCGATGGTTTCTGGATACCTTCTTTTCACCCCCTTTCTTTCTCGCTTTAGCTACACAGGTACCACTGGCTGCAATGCAATACCTTTCCGGTGCCCGAAAAGACATTAAAAGTCTCCCGGAATCTTGGCTAAAGTGCGTAAAGGGATGAAGCTTAAATCGATGAGACAATCACCCGATGCGACATGAATACCACAGCATCCTATAAACAAACGTAGTTACACGAACTTACTTGTGGAGCAGACGAATAGGGATATCCAAATTGTGGATATGACATGGTAGAGAAGTCCCCCAATATCCAGAAATAAAGCGAGACTGAAGGTCTCCACTCTAACGCAGGCTGCGGCTCTGTTTGACTGTACCAATTGATTGGTAAGCACAGGCTCCTAGGATGCTTATAGGGCGAAGCAGAGTAGCATGTTTAATTTGTAAAAAGCCCCCACTCAAACGACTTTAAACTGCATTAACTAAACCACCTAATCAAACCTGTCCTTTTCCTTTTTTAAAACTCCACTAACAATAAATAAACGCATTAGGGAAACACGAGCTTCTTTGCCAAGAATAATCACTTTGTTGTCAGATACATATTTTTGCCTATAAAAAGTAGTATAAAAGACGTCAGCAGCAGAGGCAGGTTGTTTTAAACGCCGGTGACTGTGACGTCAGAAGTTTCCCACTCTAAAAATGACCAGACTGTAACTTTAATATGCATTTTCTTTCTCAGGATGACGAGAAAAAAACTGAAAGCACGATATAAAGAGGAAATGTTTAATAGAGTAAAAGGCACGGAGTACCTTTATGAACACGAATATGTCCTGGAGATTAATTTGCACGAGCAATCAATCAATTAGGCCAATCAGTGGCTTAAATATGCACACGTCTGTATCCGCTTAAATGAATTAGGCCTAATGAAGCACATTCCTATCATTCCTCCGAACAACTTCTAATCACACTGGGAGCTAATTGGTTTCAAATTAATTTGTGAAGAATATTTTCATACTAAAGATAGCAGCCAAAGATGAAACTAATTAATTAACAAAGTGAATGTATTTTATAATACTAACATTCGGTGCAATATCTATCTATCTATCTATCTATCTATCTATCTATCTATCTATCTATCTATCTATCTATCTATCTATCTATCTATCTATCTATCTATCACTTGTGTATTTGTTAGGAAGACTCATCAAACTGCTGTAAAAACCCCCAAAACTGGCTCGCCACCTTGCCGGTGCGCGTTGCCCTGCTTGGAGAATCCCGGGTTGAGACATGTGGATAGCCCCAGGGGTCACTCCTCAAATTAATGATGATGTACTCCTCCTCCTTCTCCTCCCTCCCTCCTCCTTCCTCTCTCCTCTCCAGCTGGATCTCTGCCTGCCGGTGACAGGTCGATTGAGAGTGATTGATGACTATCTAGGGGACCCGGGCCAACATAATAATATGATTCCGGCACCTTGCAATAATTGCTTGCTTTCATTTACAGATGAAAGAAGTAATAAAGAGCTCTGAGGACGAAGACGTTTGTGCTTCGGTTAAGTAACTTTTGCCTCGTGTCGCTCTTTTTTTTCTTTTTAAATAATTTTTGTGAAGAAGTTGGGTTTCTGTGGGAGGGTGGGCTTTATAAGATGTCTGTTCTCTCATTCATTTTGACAAATTGAATTATAGGGGGTTAGTACCTCCAAGCAAATGGCCGCATTAACACAGTGAACGGGGGGGGTCAAAAGGGATCAGCCAGCCCTTTTTAATTTGCATTAACTCTAATGCCACCTCAACATTAACAACCCGTCTGAACCGCTCAAGCATACACTCACTCACAGCTCTCACACACACACGAACACACACGGAGGGCCTACTGCTCCGTTTTGTCTTATAAATTTAGACTTTTTTCCTTTATTGAGTTTATGTGCGACGTAGTGCATAAAGGCAGGGCGGGACCCAATTTATCTTCAACATCACACACGGGACGAAACGAAGGAGAAAGTGATGACACCTTCATTTTGGATTGGGGTAAACACAAATACACACGCGCACGCATTATAGACTTACCTGGGCGTCCAGCTTTGTCTGTTTCTATTTGCATACACCTCTACACATGTTGGTGTACAGAGGTAAGGAGAGACACATCCACTGAACTATAGGCTACGGCTCACACCTCCTCCCCCTCCCCCTGGGTGTATACCTTTTCATTATCCACTGCGCTACCCAGTTTTATCATGCGCCCGTGATAAAATATTTAGGCGCATTAGTGTATGCCTTTTAGACGGAAAATAAAGGAGGTTCATGCTTGTTTAGCGTTTAAAGATTAAAAGAGGAGATTCTTTTTCCCCTTCCTTCCAGATGTGAGGAAGCAGAGATGCTCTGTGGTTAAAGTGGCCAAGCAGGGGGAAGATGCTGTTCCATTTTAGGGCAAAGGAGTAATGCTTATGGTCTGGTTGCACTTGTGTGGTTCCTTCCTTTTTTACTGAGGATAAACACGATAATCAGAAAAATATATCAGTTACTAATGATCTAGATTAATGAGCCACTTGAAGGTGGCTTTACTGTACAGATTAGGATAGATAGCTGTGTTCAGTAGAGACCTGGTGTAGGAGCATCCATCATGTTCACAGAGCAACATAAATCAACCCCTTCACTCAAATTAGACTATACATCACTATATTGCAAATTACTCTGCATAAGAATACCCACAGAGAGCTTGAAATTGTGCTCATCCACATCAGATCAGCCCAAATTACTGCAATTTGAATAATCTTTAGTTGCACTTTGAATCGAGCCTGATAACTTGCATTGACTTTCCAACGGAACTCATAATACAAAGTGTCAGTTTCCTGATAATCTGCTGTTGATTAATGAGCCAAGAGGAGGAGGAGAGTGCGCGGGAGATATATGTGTGGGACTGTTTACGTCGAAAGAAATACACACAGGAAAGTGGAGTGGGAGCTGAGTTTACTAAGCGAACTATGTTGTGGGTTTGTTAAAGCCATCTGTCAGTCTTCTGGTTTGAGGTCATATGAGGAAATCTTTAAAAAAAGGAAAGTAGTTTGTCCATATTTAAATCTACATGGTCTGGATCTGTAAGAGCTGGGAAAAAAACCCTGCACAATGTAATTTACTTGTAATTCATTTTTTCATGTTGATTTTTTTCAGATAAGAAATATTTTTAACTTTGTATGAGCAGTTTATACTCCCAGACTGAAGCAGCAGAGGCAAAATGTGTGCGTTCTGCTCACAATATGAGAGCTGACTTAGAACTGAGACAGGAAACTTGTCTGAATCAAGTGTGGTTCAGTGATAGTTCTGATGTTAACCTCTGCCATGTTCAAACTCCCAGACGTGGGTTAAGATCAGGTGAACAAACTCAGTGGATCGTCTTTATGTCTCTTCTCTTCTCTTCTGGAGCTATGAATGAAAACGGAATGTTATCCATAATGGCATGTTATTTCTTTTAAAGGTATTGGTCTTTTTTGTTGCAGTATAGAGTGCATTTTGTCACATTCTGTTTCACCTTATGTGGACAATGCTCCAGTGCTCTGATGTCTTCTGGTCGACTGTCTCAATAACTGTTTTTTCAGTCAGCAGTGTAGAAAACCAACAGTGACCTCAATAGTTGAAGACAGCTGCACAGACAAACTCTCTCTATGACATGAAGCCCCGAGCAGCTCCCAGGCTTTCCAATAGTGTCCATGTTTCTCCTTCTGTAGTCGTGGAAATATGTCTAAGCATTCTTACACACTAGCAATCAAACAGAATGCTTATCCAGCACAACATCAGTCTAGCTACTGTCTAGTCTTGGTGTCCCACTGGAACATTGATCTCTAGTGATCTTCTCAAAGTATAGCTTATTTCTCTTTTAAAGTAAATTAACTGTTTTTCCTCAGTTATCATTGGGTTCTAAAGCCTAAGTTTATTTATTTTTTATATAAGTGGAGCAGAAAGCTTGGCTTCTTCAAGAACTTGGTGTAAAAAATAGGAATTCTTTGTTGTTGCTAGCAGTGTCTTGGTGGTTTGTACACTGTGACCAGCAGACTTTTCAAACTGGAGTTGTTTTTGAAGTTGATTCCTTCAAAGTACTGTTTTTCCAGTTAATTCTAAAAATATCAGTCAATTAGTAATGGATACCTGTAATGGGGCAAGTCTATAAGAGACAAGATAGAGAATAAGCTGGTAAACAGCTATTTTTATAAAGATTTCCTTTCTTTCTTCCTTTCTTTTGTGATTTCCTACTTTATTATTTTTGTTCATAAGAAACAAAATACTAAACATTTTCTTTTACTGCAGGCATTTTTGCTTGTCAGAGGGGAAAGGTAATGAGGGCTCAGTTCCATTAAGTGTCCCATAAGTGGAATTCATTGTGTTTTCCCTACTGTGATGAGTCAAAATGTTTGCTGTGAAAAAAAGTCTACAGATGTTTACTTAATGAATTATAGTATAAAGAAAAGTGTAGCATGCTTTTTATTAATTAAAATGTTTTGACCAGATTTCATTAAAAATATGAGACGATGCTGCCTTATAACGGTGTAATTTCTGGACTGTACAAGCTGTTAATTAAAGCAATCCTTTGTCCCCGTTTTGGGGGGTATTTACAGCTGGCAACAATGTTAGACAAAAGGCAATATTTGTGAGCTGTAATTTATGGGCTGTAATCAAAAGCATTACAAAGCTGAAAGAACAGATTGTAATTTCTGTTAATGTTGCACAACTCCATGAAGCAACACTTTAGTCACTCAGGATGTGGTGGGAAAGATTTGATATTTACTGCATTATGCATATTATGAAGATGGACTGTGATGAATTATACAAATTATGCAGAATTAGCACCTTGTATCCAAGTAGGGTGCAAAGCAATGATGGTAAAATCCAGTGAAATGGAGCTTCCACTTTATAAAAGTAACATGATAATATGCTTGAGATGAATGTACCCGACCCTCTATTTCTCAGTTTTCCTCTAGCTCCCATCTCTCCGGGTGTTAGTCTTCTTCAGCCTCTCTAAGAGGTTTAACATGTCAAAGTTCTCTCAGGTCATTCATAATTGATCACCACTACGGCAGCATCTTCGCTGCACTTAGTTAACTAGCTATCTGCAGGTGTTCCCTTAGCAACTGGCCGGGCACTGAAACACGGAAGTACTATATGTAGACTCCCAGGTCCCCAAAATGAGAACCCAATGTGTCTTGTAAATCCTGGTGTTGGTCCTATGTTCACAGGTTGTGTTCTTGGACAGACTTTGTAGGTATGCCCATTACGTAGACAAGGATATGAGGGAACACAATCAAATCTCCTGTAAAACAGGCAGCTGTTTTGTTATCCCTGTACTGGAATTCGCCCCCCCCCCCCCCCCCCCCCCCAAAAAAAGACAAAAATGTTTGAGATCATTTGTACAACATCTGACCTCATTCTATGTTTATACTTATTTAATTATTCTTTAGACATTTCATTACTAGTCATTTACTCTACCACTTAAGTGATAAGATCTTGTCATAATTATTTGACCGCTTCTAGTTCGAAAACATT